CTACCAGAATAGAAATCCTTTACCAGACATAAATCTTGAAAATATTTTCATCAGGCTGTGGCTTTTCATTCAGGTAATTGTGTCTCTTGAAGAGTAGTTTTATAGTTTTGATGACGTCCAACTTACCAATTATTTTTCTTCTCTTATGTATCTTTAGGTGTTGTATCTAAGAAACATCTGCCTTACCCAAGGTAGAACATTTCCCCTATGTTTTCTGCTACAAACTTCTTAGTTTTAGTTTTTACGGTTAGATCTATGTTCCATTTAATTTTTTAATATAGTGCATGGTAGGGATCAAAGCTTAAAAAGACAGCTGTCCACATGTGTGCAGGTTTATTTCTGGACTCTATTGTCCCATTGTTCTACCAGTCTAACTTTACACCAGTACCACACTGTCTTGATTATTGTAGCTTGACATGCAGCCTCCATATCAGATCAGGTTAATTCTCTTAACTTTATATTTCATTTCATTTTACATTTCAAAGTCGTTTTGACCATTCTAGGTCCTTTGCATTGCTGTACCAATTGTAGTATCAACTTGTCAATTTTCATAAAAGGACCACTTGGGCTTTTGAATGGATGGGGTTGAAAGCATATGATAATTCATTGGATGGGACTGAATGTATATAACACATATAATAATGTGTAATTGGGAGATTTGAGATCTTGAGTCTTCTGACCAATGAACATGGTATATCTCAGTTTATTTAGGTCTTCTTTAACTACTCACAGCACTGTTCTATAGTTTTCAGTAGAAAGACCTTACATATTCCCTAAATATTTGATAGTTTTTGGTACTATTGTGAATTGTAATTTTTAAATTCAATTTCCAAGTGTTTGTTGCTAGTATATAGGAAGACACTCGATATATTCATCTTGTATCCTTCAACCTTGATTAATTTACTTATTAGTACTAGTAGCTTTATTTGCTTATTAAGAATAAATTGTAGCTTATTAGTTTTTAATAGCTTTTTTGTAGATTCTATCAGATTTTCTATCTCACGTCATCCGAAAAAAAATTTACTTCTTTTCCAATTTACATGCATTCCAATTTACATACAACTCATCCCTACTTGACAACAATTTCCGTTCTAATGCCAGATCTGGAAGTAGGGCTAAAATTAAGGTCCAAGACTCCGGAAACATTCCAAAACCAGAGACTATGTCTATTACTTTGACTAATGGCAAGAATCCCAAAAGGATTGAGAGGATGGATAATCTTCTTGCTGTCTTTCACCAAGTTGGGCCTGACTATGCAAATGTTCAGTTGCCTAGTGGATGGGAGAGCCATTTACCTCCAGAGCGCCATTGTTATTATAACTCTTTGAAATCTGTATGTGCATTTTGATTGTATATTTGATTACACGCTGCTGAAAGGCAAATGACTACTGTCAAACTAAGAGTGATGATTTTTTTTGGCAAAGGCTTTGATTAAAAATTAGGGGGTGGAATTTGCTGTGAGAGTTAAGCCCACAGACCTGAGCTGAAGTATCTGCACATCATTCACCGTTGATCAAGGAATGAAACATATTATTAGTGTTGCTTTGTAGCCATGGGCGCAAGATGTTTTGGGACAGGTTTTCACAGCTTATCAGCAGTGTTTATTGTTAACAATGCAATTGATGATTTACACCTGTTCTCATTGAGACCTTCAGAGTGCTTTGCTGTTGGGGCTGGTTACATAGCAAGAACATGCCTACACACCCAGCAGGGTATAAGAAACCCCAGCCGTGAATCCATTTTGTGCCTCTGAAGTGTTCTGTGCACCTTAGTTCTTCTCTGACAGTGAAATTGTGTCCATAAATGGAGGAAATTGGGAGCTCACGCCTGGCTCTCATCCAAACCCATGGCTGTGAGGCAGCCTTTTGCTGTGATGCAAGTCCTTACTTCACAGTATTGCTATATTGTGCCCTTTCCCTTGATAAACTGCAGATTTATAAGCATTGTCATTTTGGGTCCTATGAGTCGTCTTTAGCAATTCAACTGTTTAACTACCACTGTTTATTGCAACACATGTTTGGTAATGTGGCAGCCTGTAGCTCAGGCCTTGTGGCTATTTCGCAGTGCATAACCTTGTTCTCTTTCTTGTGAGTAATCTGTCCTTAAGGCACGTATAACCTAGTTCTTTTTTCATGTTCAGTTCATTCAGTGGTCTCTTTTATCCCTCCCCTTATTTTCTGTGCTAATCAACTTGCTCAGTGCTTGCTGATTTCTGATCTGTTTCTCTTGGATGCACCTGCACTCTGGCCACCAATAATCTCTGGCTTCCTGAGCAGTCTAACAATAGAGTCTTACTTCTGTTACCTCAGTAGAGATATGATTACATTCTACCTGTGCTGCTGGGTTATCATCTTCTACCAGAGAATGTTGCTCATCCAACAGAAGGGTTCTCTGTTCTCAGTATGTTTCTCTCCCGGAAGTATTGAGTTCCCACCAGATTTTCATCCAGTCTGATGACAATATGCGCTGTACGTGTGCAGTAACATATGCCCATGTGTTTTCGCTTCATTAGTAACTCTTGCTTTTCTATAACCTTTTCATAGTTTAGCTATTAAGCTACTACCTGGGAGTGACCATGTGCTCCCACATCTTTTACACATCCACATCATTATGTCATCTGCCTACAGCCTATATGGCTAAACTTAACTTTCTAAGGATAACATGCCCAATCCTTTTAAATCTTCTTACTAGTACCACACAATTTATCAGTGCTTTTAAAAAAACCCGATACAGGCATTAGGCATTTGATAACCCATGTTGCGCTCAAGTCTGCCTTATTTCTCTTATCATCATACATTGCTTAGTTATCGTGGCAGGTCATTCTTCCTACCTGCTGTTATCTAATTTAATAGAATAACCTCTGGGTTGACTGACTCATGAAGTGCAAACTTTCCTTCAGTCCTTTCATATCTCAGAGTCCAAACACCAGGGATTAAGAGGTATAGAAGAGTTGGGCATCACTCTCATGATGAAAGTAGACAAGATCCTGAATTTAGATCCCGGGGAGCAAAGAAAAGGGCATTGATTCATTCTTATTCCAACAATCACTAAAAACCAAAAATGTGGACTGTGAACTGCATCAGCTTCAGGCTCTTTTTAAATTCTGGGTGCTACGATTTTCAACTTATCTGCACTTCCATTGTTTCCAACATTAAAATAAAAAACATATAAAAAGGATTCTGATCTTATTTTATGTACAATTTGATAGGTTAGTAATTTATAAAAGAAATAGTTACCAAGTAGCCAGCATGGTACTTGCTACACATGCTTTTAAGTTGAGGGACACCACCTCGACCAGGTGATCAAGGTTGGCATTGTCAGTGATCACTCATGTTGACAGCATGCACTATCTGCATGATGAAAACGGCATTTTATCTCTGCGGTTTTCCTACAAAAAAACCTCTAACACCAGCAAAACCATAAAAAAAAGATATCAGAAACCCAAACTGAGGGATATTCCACAAAATACTTGACAAGGACTCCTCAAAACTGTCAAGGTAATCAACGACACGGAATGTCTGAGAAATTGTCACAGACCAGTGGAAGCTAAGGGGACATGCCAATTGAGTGTGATGTGGTATCCTAGATGGCATCTTGGAATACGAAATCATTAGTGAAACACTAATGAAATGTAAAGAATGCTGTGTTTAGTTAGTAACGTATCTAGGTTACTGAGTTAAGACAAATGAACCAGAGCAATGTAAGATGTTAATATGGGAAACTGACTGACTGAGAAGTATATAGGAACTACGGTGCTGACTTTTTTTTAAATCTAAAACTATTCTAAACTGAAGTTAATTTTTTTTTAAAGTACTCCAGATTAGATACTTTTCCTTTCATCTCTACTTTTCTGAAAAACCAAGCATGTAGAAAGAGATCTCTTTTGACTTTCATTTCTCTTTTGGCACTGTGCAATAAGCTCAAGTTGCATCAGGGTGTTAGAGACTGAGCAGGGGCAAACGATATTCTCTCCACTGCTGGAACTTAGGTGCCACGAGGAGCGTTGATCCATCTCCATGGTGTGACCATTAGGCCTCATCCAAGGGTGGGCTCTTACTCCTGGCTGTTTTCTTTGGCAGTGATACCACTAAGTGACAATAACCCATTGTTGAAGAAATACCTGTTCTCCAATTAATGCTAAAAATACACCACCATTTTCCCTCACATAGTATCAGCCGAGGATAGGGAATAGAAAACTCACCCAGAGAAGCACCTGACTTGTTCTCAGGCTCAGACTACCAGATTATACTTGCAGACAGCAACATGCCCAGGATCCAGAGAAATCTTTAGTGGTCCAGGTTTTAAAAATGAGGGTTTCATTTATTTCCTTCTCTGTGCTGACCAAACCATGTAGCCTGAAATGATGGCAGATGGACCAAATATGTCCTCTAAGACTATGCTATGTGTATCACATAGTTTCCCCTCCCCAAAAGCGAGTGTGCTTTTCAATACCAATGCAGTGCTTCTGATATGAAAGTAGCCCTGATTTTTCTTTCCTATTCCAAAGCCCGCTGCCCAAGAAGGGCAGAAATAACGCTGATTTTCAACACTGCACAGTGTGGGCAAGCATCTTGGGTTCTTGGAAAAAGATTCTAGACAGGATGCTCAGGCTACATGCATGCAAGAGGGCTGAGGAGAGGATTTGCTTTGTAATGACTCAGTACAAAACGAACCACTAAAGTGGCATAAAATGAAGACCAAAAAAAATGTAGAAATCAACATCCACCAAACACACGTACACAACACACACAAGGATACATACACACAAGAATGCTTGAAAAATCCCACGGATTTCGAAGGACCTAGAAAAACTGGACCAGACTAATATTCAGACATTAGCAGGCAGGGCAAAGTCACAGCATCGAGCTGAGGGAAGCCGAAAGGATACAGGCTGTCACACAAAAAGGGGAAGTGGACAGGTTCGAGCAGACTTGGCTACTGCCCTCTACTAGAACTCACCAGTAATAACAAATTCTCTGCTACAGAGACTCATACAGATGTACTATATAGCACAGACGCTAGTCAGATTTATTGGTATTGTCCACAGAATTCGTTACTCCTCCATCTTTAAAACTTCCCATTCCACACTGAGTTTGTGTATAGGTAAATATTTTCTTTTTTATATTCTACAAACCTTGGTATTGTATGTAAAACACAAGTTTTGGTACATCAGTTCTAGGTGAAGATTTGACCTTCAATTCTGAAACTGATACATTTCCTCAGAAAACAATTCTCTGAAGCAAACTCAGTACTGACACCTGCCACATAACAAGGTTTCAGTCAGTGACAGATCACATACACGATGGTGGTCTCGTAAGATTAGTACCACATAGCCCAGAGGTGTAGTAGGCTATACGACCTAGAGTCTGTGTACACTCCATAACATTCACATGATGACAAAATCACCTAACAACGCATTCCTTAGAACGTATACCATTGTTGGGCAAGACACGAATTTGTTAAAAAATGTCATTTATCAAAAATACAAAATTTTCATCTCAATTATTTCATGTTTAAAGAAGTTCACTTTGCAGCAAAGGCTTGTGTTTTCCCTGAGATTTCTCTTGATTTTTGATGAAGGCTGACTATTCGAGATATTGACAGAAGTTTTCTTCCTCATGTGAAGTCTCTCATGTACATAGACAGGCTGAATTCTTATCGGTCCTCTCACATTTATTATATTCACAGGCTTTCATCCCACTCTAACAGTGTTGGCTAAGCTATTGCATTCAATCAACAGACCAAAACCTGTAAGAACTCAACAGAGCACAAGTTGATATCTTGCCTAAAAAAAAAATTTAAAAAAAAAGCCAACTGGTGAAGATCTGTTAGTGGAGAATTCTGTTTCACCCAGTTATTCAGACTCTAAATTCTTTCACCTTGTGCTCTACCATGTTCAAAATACAGCACCCAAGTCTGTGTGGAAGGCTCTCCATTCTGGTATAACACAGGACAGGAAGAATGTAGGTGACTTTCAAGTCCAGACTTAGCTTAAATGTAGTAGCATCAAATTCCATGACCAGCCCCACCTGGATGAAGGAGTGGGAAATTTAAACAAGCTATGGGCCCAGAGGAAAAGGAAATAGTTAAGGGAAATATGCCAGTCTATGTGACATGAGCTTCTTCGTTGTGTTACCTATCTAATAATGTATGAGTTCCTTTAGGACTTCTCAAATTCATTACACATAAGGGCTTTCCCTCTGGTGTGTGTTCTTGTATGATGTACTCTAAGAGCTGCCTTACGGACAAAAGTTTTCCCACAGGCATCACATTCATAGGGTTTTTCCCCCGTGTGAATTCTTTGGTGTACTCTGAGGGCTGAATTTTGGGCAAAAGCTTTCCCACATTCATTACATTCATAGGGTTTCTCCCCTGTGAATTCTTTGATGTGCACTAAGGTGCAACTTCTGGGAGAAAGTTTTCCCATTCATTACATTCACAGAGTGTCTCCCATCTGAATTCTCTGATGTGCTCCAAGGGCTGAATTATTGGCAAAAGTTTCCCCAAAGTAATTACATTCATAGAGTTCTTCCCCTGTGTATTCTTTGGTATTGAGGACTGAATTTTCGGTAAAAGCTTTCCCACATTCATAGGGTTTCTCGCTCGTGTGAATCTTGTGATGTACAGTTAACACGACTTCTGAAGAAAGTTTTCCCACGCTCGTTACGTTCGTACAGTTTCTCCCGTGTGAGTTCTCTGATGTGCAGTGAGATGTGTTCCTTGGGAGAAAGTTTTCCCACATTCACTACATTCATAAGGTTTCTCCCCTGTGTGAGTTCTTTGATGTGCACTGAGGTGTGCCTTTTGGGAGAAAGTTTTCCTACATTCATTACATTCATAGGGTCTCTCTCCTGTGTGAATTCTTTGATGGACTATGAGAGCTGCCTTATAGACAAAAGTTTTCCCACATTCATTACATTTATAAGGTTTTTCCCCTTTGTGAATTCTCTCATGACCACTGAGGTATGATTTCTGGGAGAAGGTTTTCCCACAATCAGTACATTCATAGCGTTTCCTGCCTGTGTGAATTCTCTGATGTGTACTGAGGTGTGTCTTCTGGGAAAAAGCTTTTCCACATTCATTACACTCATAGGGTTTCTCACCAGTGTGAATTCTCTGATGTACTCTGAGGGCTGAATTATGGGCAAAAGTTTTCTCACAGTCGTTACATTCATAGGGTTTCTCACCTGTGTGAATTCTCCGATGTGCTCTGAGGGTTGAATTGTCAGCAAAAGACCTCCCACATTCATTACACTCATAGGGTTTTTCCCCTGTGTGAGTTCTCTGATGTGCTCTGAGGGTTGAAGTATTGGCAAAAGCTTTCCCACACTCGTGACATTCATAAGGTTTCTCCCCGGTATGAATTCTGTGATGTGCGCTGAGATGAGTCTTATGAGAGAAAGTTTTCCCACATTCAATACAGTCATAGGGTTTTTCGCCTGGGTGAATTCTCTGATGTGCTCTGAGATGGGATGTCTTGAAGAAAGTTTTCCCACATTCTTTACATTCACAGAGACTGACCCCCATATGGGTTCCAGGACAATGAACAGAGTGTGAATTTGGAGAAAAGGATCTTCCACATTCCTCACATTCATAAGCTTTCTCCCCCGAGCAGATCCTCTGATGCTGAATGAGGTGTGCTTTCTGGTAAAAGAATTTCCTGCATCCATTACATTCAAATGATTTCTGTCCTGTACCACTTTGCTGAAGTAGATCCAGGGCTGAGTTTTGATGGAAGGATTTCCCATATTTACCACACTGGTAGAATTTCTCTTCTGTGTGAGTTCTCTGATGTGTCGGAAGGTCTAATTTCTTGTAGAAGGCATTTGTATGTTCATTAAAAACACAGAATTTATCTCCAGTTTGTGTCTTCTGATGGGCTGAGCTCTGGCTCAAGTTTTCTTCACATTTACTGCTTTCCAAGGCACCCTGTCCTGTAATAGTTCTCTGAGGTTGAACAAGGGGTGAATTCCTGATGAAGTTACTCCCACTTTCATGACATTCACAGTGTGTCATAGCCACGTGAATTTTTTTGTACTCCAATAAAGTATTCCTATCATCACAGGATTTCCCAACTTCATCAAGATCAAAGCATTCTTCCCTTGTGCCATTTCTCACGTGGTTAAATACAGTTGCTTTATCACAGTTTTTCTTAAATTCAAAGTCCTTACAGGAATCTTCTCCTGTTAGAGAACTTGTCGCTGTAACGCAGACGGTTTTATCATGTAAGACTTTCCCAAACTCATTATACTCAAAAGATTGTGCCAGAGTTTGAAATTTCTGATGATCTTTCTTGTAACTGAGACCGTTCACATTTTTATTACATTCATAAGACTTCTCTCCAGTAGGAGTTTTCTGACGCTTAATCTCAAGCTGCAACTTTTCACATACATTCGTGTAATCAGCCTTCTTTCTTGAATACTTTCTATCATTAATAATTAATTCAGAAACAACTGGCAAATTCACTCTATGTGAGTCACATTTACAGGGCATTGATCCTGAAAAATCTGGAGTTGAATCCAGATTAAATGGTTTTTCTAAAACTTTCTGTACTTCCTTACTCAATCTTTTGTTATCCATGAATATTACTTGCCACAGAGGTTTCTCTTCTTTTTCCCGGTTCCCCTCAAGGTGCACATCAACTTTGTAATAGCCTAAAATGAGAAAAATTGAAAATATCTTATGAATCTTACTTTGTTATGGAGGGGGGCTAAGAGTCATGGTTTTGTTATGTATTGGAATTCTATTGTTTCTAGTCATATTTCCAAAGATTAATAATTAATGCACACAGACAGAAAGACAGACACTCTCTCTCCTCATCCATGTTGTTTAAAAAAAAAAAAAAACAGGTATTATTTTTAGTGCTGGCCAAGATGAAGCAGCTCCTTCTTCCCAAGTACTTCCTCTTACCATTAAAAAATCTCTGGACAAAAACAGACAAACAAGAGTTAACAAAGGAAGATGCTAAAAAAATGGAAAGTTGGACTTTGGGACTTAAGAAATGACATGGCAGAGAATTCCAAGGCTTTTCTTTCTGCTCCCACATATCTTATATGGGGTGCTGGAGAAGCCTGAAATCCAAATACAGTAAGAGGGAGACACAGAAGAGCACCAAGGAAAGCCTGTTCTTTTAACCAAAGGTCTGAGAAAAAGGTTGTCTAACAGAACAGAAAACCTTTCTGACAACAGCCACCCTACTGAAGCCAGAAAAACCTGGAACACTCTTCCCTGTGACATAAAGGATTTTTCTTCCCACAGAAACAAAGGATTTGCACACTCCTGCAAAATTTTCATCCATGAGCCAAACTCAAGAGCTTACAGGAAAAATCATGAAAAGTCCTGAGAAAATTCCATTCATAGGACATTTTGGGAGATGGTAACAGCAGCCACGGACAAAATTTTACCTGGAACCACACTCCTATCTACTCTAACAAATTGTTGCTTTGGGGCACTGGTGGCAACTCATAGAGGGTAAGGGAAGCAAAGAAGGAAGAAAAGGCAGCACAGAAACAAGAAAACAGCAGGAATACATGGTAGCCCAATGCTAACACAGCCAGAAGACAGGAAGTACTGCTGGTGAAAACCACACCCTCACAACCCAAGGATGCAATACTTTTAAAAAGAGCTGAAATCACATTATTCTCAAATGCACATGAAGTGTTCACCAAGACAGACCACATTCAGGGCTGTAAGCCACATCTTTACAAATATAAGAGAACACAAATCACATAAAGTGTGATCTCAAGCCATAGAGAAATTATACTAAAAATCAGTAACGCAGACTTATCTGGAGATGTACAGAGTACTTACAAATTAATACACTTCTTATTAACCCATGGGTCAAGGAGGAAGTCTCACAGAAAGTTAACATACTATGAAGTGAACAAAAACAAAAACTGTGTAAAACATATAGAAATTTGTGGGATGAGGCTTAAGCAGCACTCAGAGACAAATTTATACCTTAAAACTATCATATGAGAAAAGAAACACCTCGAAACAGTTACCTAAGCTTCCACTTTAAGAAAGTGGACAAAGAGAAGTTAAATCTAAAGAAAGAAAAAGGAAGGAAATAATAAAGATTAGAGAAGACAATGAAATTGAAAACTGCCGGGGTCCAGCCTCGGCAGAGTCCAGGTTCCGGTGGGAGAGGCGGCATCGGCGAAAAACTGAGGGAGGGGGAAATAAAGAGGACGTGAGACTTGGGTTGGTGTTAGCAAGTCCGACTTTACTGCGCACAAGTGTCATTTATATATTTTTCAGGATTAGTACAGAAATGGATCTACAAATATTCTCAGAGAGATAAGGAAGTAAAAAAAATCGAGCACAAGAATATTTATTAGCATTCCATTCTATATAGCATAAAAATGAGCGCCTTATCCGCAACTAACTAGTGTTTGTTGTCTCTAAGCTAAAAGAGATAGTTACCTAGACATCTGTTGTAATTCATGGTAAAGTTAAATCAAAGAGAGAAGGTCCAGGCCTCTGGACAGGACAGCTGTTTACATCCTGGGGGAGCCATCCCTGCCTCCCTCAATCATTTATGCCATTAGTGTAGATGGTTAATGGGAACAAAAGGCGACTCCAGGGTATCTTATCTCCAGGGCTATCTGCATTCTCAGCGGGTAGTTAAACATCTTTACATTTTCGCGCCCTTTAGGGGGTGAAAGCATTCCTTTGTCTTTTAGATTGTGGAGCTAACAGTCCCTTAAACACACTGCCGGTGAAAGTATCATTTTGTTAGTAAAGGGCTGAAAAGCTAAGCTAAACTATATATCTTCAAGAATAAAAAAACAGAAATAAGCATAGACATAACCTTGATAGAAAGCATGCATATAATTCAGAAAATATCAGGCATGTCAGCCGGCCATTCTTCACGGAGGGGTATCCCTGCACCCCTCAGCCCTTCTACTCATCAATTGTTTATTATTTATTGCTTTTAGGAGAAAACCTCTATAACATTTTAACAGAAAGCAGAAGGTCAAGAATAATATATAGATACTTCTTGATCATCCAATTAACCAGCAAACTTAGAAGGACGATGCATATATATTTAGACAAAGAACTGGAGGGAGAAGGAAACATTAACCAGACAGAGGCCATAAACCTAATTTGACATCTTATCTGGGCAGGATTCCTTTCTGATTGTCTCAAATGGGACTGTGTGCTCCTCCAATAATTAACTGAAAAACATCTTGAAAGTTACCTGCAGGTGGTCACATTCTCTTACTATATCTAATTTTCCCAGGAGGTAGCCCCTCCCAAGCAGCCACCCAAAGGAGTGAAAACTGGAGGTTAAGAAAGGAAAAGGAATGAAGGGCAATTAGAAGCAGCACAGGTTTCAGAACTATGTGAGGGGCTGGCCGGTTATTCTTCACCAAGGGGGGACCCTCCACCCCTCGGCGTTAATCGGCTGGACCCTGTCAAACAGCCAATCAAATGATGTAGCCACAGCTCCCAGCGGAAAACAACAGAGAAAAATCAATCAACTCAAAGCTTAGTGCTTTGAAAAGATTTTCCTTTAATGATAAAAAAAACAGAGGACAAAAGAGAAGACACATTATCAACATGAGAAAGATAAGCAAGAGAGGATATAACTAGCGACACAACAGACCAAAGAGATAATCACAGAATATTAAGAGAAACCTTATGCCCATAAATTTGACAGTTTACATAAAATGGACAAATTTCTTGAAATAAAAACCACCTACCAAACTCATTCAAGAAGAAAGAGATAACCCCAAAGAGATTAGTATCTATTTAAGAAACTGACAGGGCCAGCCCTGTGGTGCAGCGGTTAAGTTCGCGCGATCGGCTTCGGTGGCCCAGGGTTGACCAGTTTGGATCCTGGGTATGGACATATGCCAGCTCAGCAAGTCATGCTGTGGCAAGCGTCCCACATATAAAATAGAGCAAGATAGGCACAGATGTTAGCTCAGGGCCAACCTTCCTCAGCGAAAAGAGGATGATTGGCGGCAGATGTTACCTCAGGGCTCATCTTCCTCAAAAAAAAAAAAAAATTTAACTAACTGTGGTAAAAAAAAAAAAACGTAGTTTCAAAAAATAGTTCCAGGACCAAATGGTTTTAACAAATGAATTCTACCAAACATTTAAAGAAGAAATAATACCAACTTTATATAATCTCTTCTAGCAAATACAAGATGAGGAAATATTTCCTAGATCATTCTATGAGGCCTATATTATCTTCATAGCAAAATCGAACAAAGATAGTTCAAGAAAAGAAACCTACAGACCAATATACCTCATGATAAAAATGCAAAAATCCTGAACGAAAAGTAGCCAAAGAACACAGCAACATATAAAAAGAAATAATAAATGAGGATCAAGTGGGATTCATCCCAAGAATGCAAATTGTTGCAATATCCAAAAATCAATGTAATGCACCACATTAATCATCTAAAGAATTAAAATCACACAGTCACATCAATTAAGGCAAAAAAGTATTCCAAAACATTCAAAATCCATTCAATAACCTAATAAGGGGAATCCATAAAAAGCTTACAGTTAACATCATACTTAAAAGTGAGAGTTGGAATGCTTCAAACCTAAGATTGGGAATCAGACAAAGGTGTTTACTCTCAGCACTTCTACCCAAGATTGTAAAGGAAGTTCCAACCAATGCAGTAAGAATAATGCAAGAATAAACATGAAAGATACAGACTAAGTCTACACAGAAAATCACAGAAAGATCCTCCCCAAACTCCTCAAACTAGTTAAGTGTTCTCAGCAAGGGCAAAATACAAAGCCAAACATACACAAACAACGATCAACTGGAATTCGAAATCAGATAATATAATTTTCCATCACACCAAAAAATACAGAGCCAAGAAAACTGGGTATCTGTATGCTGAAAACTACCGACGAAAGAAATCCTAAATAAATGGAGACGAATATGTCGTTCATGGACAGAAAGACTCTCTATTATTAAGATGCCAGTTCTCTTTAATTTGATCTACACAGTCAACGCAATCCCAGTTGAAATGTCTGCATGCCTTTCTGTAAATATCAAGAAGCTCATTTTAAAATTCATACAGAAGAAAGTTGGCGGACTCACATTACTTGATTTCAAGACCTAATTAATAAGCTACAGTAATAAAAGTTAATGTGGTACTGGCATAAGGATAACTACGTAGATGAATAAAGAATACAGATGCCACAGCAATATAGTCATAGAAGCACAGAATACATGTACAAATGTATACACAGACACACGCACACACATACATAAATATGCGTTCATCTGTTGTCCAAGAACAGTGCCAATGCTATTCAATGGAGAAATTACAATCTTTTCAACAAATGGTACTTGGAGTAACTGGACGCCTCTTTTCAAAAATTTAAACCAGACACACACCTCACACTTTCTATGAAAATTAACACCAAATGGATCACAAAGTGTAATGTGCGAAATTTAAAAACTTCTAGAAGAAAACATAGGGAGAAATCTGTTACTTTGAGTTTCAATGTTTCCAGACAGGACAACAAAAGCATGGTCCTTAAGAGAAAACTAATGAATTGGCCGTTACCGAAACTAATGTTAAGTTTTAGCCGGCCTCCTCTGAGACCCCACCAACAGAAGTGGGGTGCATCTTCACTTACTGCCAAGTGGGGAGAGAAGTCTAGGTTCCCCATTAGCTCCCCGTTGACACCCTGGGGATTCGGAGGAGAGGGTGCCACATTAATGCTGGGCAGGGCTGAGAGATCAGGCTCCCCACCAGCCTTCTGCTGACACTAACCACTCTGTATTTCATCAGGTGCCAAGGTCCCTAGCTCATCTTCATTCCTCTCTCCGTCTTTCAGAATCTTACGTTCGTCTTATATGTACGCACTACACAGAAGTACATATTTAACTGTACCTGTGGGCAGAGTAGGAAGGAACACATTTACTCCACCTTTCTGGTTACTGCTTTTTCTATCTTACTAATTCCTTCCCTAAGCAGTCGTGAACATATTCTCCTTATCACCACATACAATGTTTCTAGTTTTGCTTTGATAATCAGGTCTGTAAGCAACCTGACTCCGACTTTTTGTTTTAATCCAAAAGGTTACCTCAGGATTCTTTCCCCACTGTTCTGTGGGGACAGTGCTGCCTGTCAAAGACCGACTGTCTATAAAGCATGTATTTTCTTGAGCTTTCTTTTCTCTTTCACTCATTTGTTAAACCATCCCAGCCCCAGCTCCATGCTACTGAACTACTGGGAGCTTCACCTAAAGCCCTGCTATCTAGTAGAGCAGGTCCTCCCACATGGCTCTCAGGAACGGACTTACTCGGCTATGGCATTAGGTCTTTACAAACACATCCCCACTTGAATTTATTATATAAGCACTTCTTTTCTTTTGTCTTTGTTAGGGTTAAAGTTTCATCCACTTTATTGTTTTTTATTCAAAGAAACATTCTACAAGTTCTCAGTTTTTTTAGTTTATTAACTTTTAATTGCACTTTCAAGTTCTTCTGCTTTCATTAGTACATTCCTTAGTGCTCTTGCGTAATTTATTAATATAAATATAAGACTACACATTTACCTCTGTTCACTCATTTTGCTATAGCCTATGGTTTCTAATATGCACCTTCTTTTTTTATCTTGTAAATCTCATACAATTTTAGTTTCGGTTTCCTATCTCAGACATTGTTTAAAGGAGGTAATTTTTAAAATTTCCATGTTGAAAGAGTGTTTTTGTTTACCCATTTTATCATTAATTTCTAGATTTACCAAATTGTGTTGAGGGAATGTTATTTGTGGTGACTCTAATTTGTTGGATTTATTGGTGCTCTCTTTTTAGATTAACACTATTATTTTCACAATTTTAAGATTCTTCCATGGGACCATGGAAGGCTTACTCTTTGATTTCAGCATATACACGCACAAATACATGATTCACTTTAGTACAAATATCACGTATATCCTAGACAGGCATAATACTTCTTTAATGTCCACAGTACCTATTATTTAATAAGATGCAGTGTTTTATGACCTCCTGATCCTAGTGAATCATTAAGTTCCTAGAACTTCCTTATTTTGTGTGCTAAGATCCTTGATATCATATTGTTTGGTGCAGTCATTCAAATGCTTAAAGGTTTACTTCAGCTGTGCTCTTGAGCTAGAGGATCTTTATTAATGTATTTACTGCCAAAATTCAAACCTGAATAATAACGGAACACGAAACCCTGAATTATTCTATTTTTACTGACTTAATAACTTTACTATTCTTTTATTACAAACTTCCTAAGATCCTTATTTCGGGATATCTTCTTTAGCCAATCAATATGATCCAATCATTTGCACTTAGCAATTGGGAGATACACCCGACCTAAATTACGTCAACCTGTTACATTATGCTATCTGTTTACATGGCTTCACAACAAAACTTTCAGTAAACACAATGACTTCAGACGATTTTACTTTTTTGCTCTAGGAATTATATTGAACCTATAACTTCTCAAATTCCTGGAATTATTAGTTTAGACAAAGGCTAATAAGTAATAAGCACATGAAAAGATGCCCGACATCATTCGTGATCAGGGAAATTGTTACAGACTGAATCGTGTCTCCCCCCAGATCCATATGGTGAAGCCCTAGCCCCCAGTGTACCTGTACTTGGAGATAAGATCTTTAGGGAGGTAATTAAGATTAAATGAAGTCACGAGGGTGGGGCCCTAATTCTATAGGACTGGTGTCCTTATAAGAAGAGGAAGAGAGATGAGAGCTGTCTCTCCCCACACATGCACAGAGGAAAGGCCAGTGAGGACACAGTGAGAAGGCAGCCAGGAAGAGAGGCCTCACCAGAAATCAACCCTGCTGGTACCTTCATCTTGGACTTCCAGCCTCCAGAACCGTGAGAAATAAATTTCTGTTGTTTAAGTCACCCAGGCTACGGTATTTTGTTATGCCAGTCCAGCTAACTAAAACCGAAATGCAAATCAAAACCTCAGTGATAAGCCACTTCACATCCTCTAGGACGGCAAGAATCAAAAAGTCATACAATCACAAGTGTTGGTGAAGACGTGGAGAAATCAGAACCCTCCTACGCCGTCATCAGGAATGTAAAATGGTGCAGTCACTTTGGAAAATGGTCTGGCAGTTCCTCAAACAGAGTATCCATATAACTCAGCAATTCCACTCCTAGATAGAAACTCAAGAGCAATAAAAGCACACGTCCATGCAAAAATTTGTAAATGAATGTGTATATCAGCATTACTCAATGACAGCCCAAAGGTGGAATCCCAAATGTCCACTGACTGATGAATGGACACACAAATGTGATACATCCACACAAGGAAATATTATTTTGCCATAAAAAGGATGAAGTACTGATACATGCCACAACAGGAACCTTAATCCTAAGTGAAAGAAACCAATCACAAAAGACCCTACATAATGTTGTGATTCCACTGATATGAAATGTCCAGATTAGGCAAATCTATAGAGACAGAAAGTGACTAGTGGTTGCCAGGGCTGGAGGGGACTGGGGGATAGGGAGGTGATAGGTAAAGGGTATGGGGTTTCTTTTTGCGGTGATGAAAATTGACTGTGGTGATGTTTACACCTAGCTGTGAATAATATTAAAAGCCACTGAATTGTGTACTTTAGATGGGTGACATGTATGGCATGCAAATTCTATCTCAATAAAGCTGTGTAAAAGGGGGAAAAAAAAAAAACTTTCGAAAGTGTTCCCCTCTAAGGTCTAACTACCCCAGGTGTTTCTGTCAGGGCTCACTCACCTGGGTACCTCTGGTTTAGGAATTCTTCCTCTAAGGACCAGGGCTCTTCTCCTTGCTCCAACTTGAAAATCACCCGGGGTTTAGTACTGCAGTATCCTGTGAACATAACAATTGAGGGTATATCCAGACCAGATCCATGGGCCTTTGGGTTTCCAAAGGTGGAGAAAGAGACGGTGGCAAGAGCAGCGAAATGAAGGTGCTCATTTGAAGTTTTCAACGCGGAAGTAATGACACAAACATTGTTTCTGTTTCTCTAAAGGTTTCAGTTTCCTTCAACCTCTTAATAAGAAGCCTGAACAACACTAATCTCTAGTGAGGGTTCACGCGTGGTGATTTCAAAAAAAGGAAATGTAATCCAGAGGGAGTCACATGGTAAGGGCTGCTCACCCATGGAGACCAGGTGGCCGTAGTTCTCCAGCATCACATCTTTGTACAGGGCCCTCTGTGTGGAGTCCATCTGCCGCCACTCCTCCTGGGTGAACTCCACAGTCACGTCTTCGAACGACACCAATCCCTATAACAGCACATTTTGTGCAAAGGTTCAGAATTACGTGACAAAGAAAAGACCTTTGAGAACCACTACCATTCCTATTTACTCTTAAGGCTCTAAAACAAATGGCTACAAAAGATGCCAATTTTTGACCTAATTTTGTCGCCAACTTCAAATTGCTCAACTAGTTAAAAAGGTTTTTAACTAACCATAATTCATTTACACATATTTATGAATTATAGGGGTTTGTTACAGAAAAAAATTCAATGTAAAGCGACTTCCTACAACTCTTCCACATCCCAAGGAATTGCCCTGGGTATTCTAGAGACTTCTAGGATAGTCAGTCTCTCCTTGGACATTATCACTGCAAATAATGGGGGCCAAGGAAGAGATCTATGTAAGTTGTGGAGACATTATACATGACCAAACTTATGTATAAGTAAATGTATAAAGATAAATAAATCTAGAGCTCATGAAGAACGAAGAACAACTTACCAAGGAGTTGAAATCAAAGAGACCAGTAGAAGAGAACACTATCTACACTGACGGGACAGGAATGGATATAAGGATAGGGGTATAATCACAGAGCAGAAGCAACAACCAGTTTGATGACTACTTTCTTGTGGAGCTACCCAGTCTAACTGCACGAGCAGCTCCTTGAATGCTGGTGCCAAACACCGATATTTGGGAAACAAAAGGAAAAAAATGTGTTAGAAGTCATCGTGAGACGGATCTGCTGAGGTTGCTACTGAAAGGTCTATGGAACATAATATTGGAAATGCCCCTTAAACTAGTATACATATGGTTTTAGAACACAGAAGGAAGGTCTAGGATGAAGACAAGCATTTAGGAATTACTAGCAATTTAGGTGGGAACTCAAGTTATCAGAGGCAATCAGACAGCAACTTGAGCACATGGGGACCGAGGAAAGAAAAGCACCAAAAACAGAATTTGAGGAGCCACGAATATTAAAGAGGCTGGCAGAAAAAGTACAGGCCATAAAGCCAGAGAGGATGTTTTCTGAAAAGTAACAACAGGATCGGGAGAGGGAGGAGTCCTTGAAACTGAGCAAAGGGAAAGTTTCCACAACCAAAGGCTTCACAAGGGGCTGGGAGGAGGAGGAAATGGGGAGTCGCTGTCCAACAGGTACCCACCTTCAGTTTTGGCTATGCAAGGTCATTAAGTTCCAGAGATCTGCTGCACAAATGATGCCTACAGTTAACCATACTATCATGCACACATAAAATTCTGAACAATTTGCAAGAGGGCAGATCTCATGTTAAGTGTTCTTTTCACAATTAAAAATAAAAAGAAAGCAAGTAGACCAAGAGAAAAGAGGACAGAAACAAGCTTTTTTCCCTGGTGCTGTGTACCCAATTGTCTGTTCATTCACGTCTTCAGTGCTACTGAGCGAGTACCTCCTCTGCGTGAAGCTCAGCGCTCGTAGCTGGTAACCAAAACAAATGAACAAAAGAACAGGAGTACCTCTCACTAAATTTATCTTAATCTGAAAAACGTAAAGAAAAGTTAACTATATTTTCAAAAACTAAAAAATTAGTGGGAAAAGTGGCATTGTTTTCATTCGTGCCAATGTCTTTCACATCTGGCTTAATAAAAATCAGCTGGATTAAAAAATATTAAGCTAACAAGTGACCTAAGTGAAAATGGTGAGGTAAGGATCCAAGAAAATTCTCTCTTTCATAAAAGCGATAAACAAACTGGCAAAAATTGTAGAAGTTAACAAAAGCAACCTACGGGACATGTATTCAAGGAAAACAGCTGAATCAGAGTAAAAACAGTGATAGAGGATCCTTTTCACTGACCCTATTCCCATCCCTTGCTCTCCAACTCTGTGGTGGTTTGAGAACCAACAATCTGCCATCACAGTTAAAACCAGCAGCCTGGCAACTACTGGAGGGAGAAGAGCTGGGGTGAGGTTCCCTCAAAGCCCCACTCCCAGAAAACTCATTATTTGGCCTGTTTGGTGATTCCTTGAAAGACCCCACTTGCAAAGGTGTCTTTACTTGAGCTCACTCAGAGCTCGCAGAGAATGAAAAGCCATATGCTCAGAGGCATTTGTCAAAAACATCTGAAGGCACTTGTTTAACTTAGTGGCTATCTGAGGAGGTAGATAACAGTTGGGGCAAACAATACCCTAATCAAAAAGCTTAAAAGGAAAAGCTGGGGAATGAGATGTCCACACAGATTTTTAAAAGCTCCAATATATTCCTGAGAATCTAGAAGGCCACATTCATGTGGAGAGCTGTGCATATGCCCAGGGCTGTGAGCATGCTCAGGAAAGATGTGAGAAGGCACTACGCTGTCACCTCTAACTGACCTTGAGGTTTGGGCTAAGAAGGGAGTGAAGGCCAGCACAGAGTCGTAAACTGCCTGCCTGACTGCTGCAGGAATGCCCTCACACGCACAGAGCCCCTTAGCAAAGACCTGGAGACTTACCGGTTCCTGGCATTTAAGGACAGGGACTCCAACTGCCACAGATCACAAGAAACACAGGCTCTAGGGCATTAGCTCAAAAACAGTCAGTGAACAAATAAATTTCAACAGTGACCCCCACGGAGGGGAGAAATTCTGATTTCTAGACTTGCTGCATTGTTGCACTTAAAATGTCCAATCATCAACAAAAGATTGCTAAACAAAGAAAGAAACAAGAAAGTAAGACCCTTATGTAGGAAAAAGTGTAATCAACAGAAATCGATTCCTGCATCTGAGGAAGCAGATGTTGGACTTACTGGGCAATGACTTTAAATCAGCTATTTTAAATATCATCAAAGACCTAGAGAAAACAATGTCTAAGGACTCAAAGAAAGTATGAGAACAATATTTCACTAAATAAAGAGTATCAATAAAGAGATAGAAATTATAAAAAGGAACCAAATAGAAACTTAAAGAGTTGAAAAGTACAACTGAAACAAAACTTTCATTAGAGGGATTCAAGAGCAGATTTCAGCAGGTGGAAGAGAATGAATGGACATATGTCCACTGAAATTACAGAGTGAGAAACAGAAAGAAAAAATAACTGCAAAAAATGAACTAGGAGACGGTCCCAAGTCTACAAACGTACGTGTAATGAGAGTCCCAGACAGAGAGGAAAGAAAAGGTCTGAAAGAATATTTGAAGAAATAATCAACAAGAAGTCTCCAAGTTTGATGGAAAACATTAATCTACACATCCAAGAAACTCAACAATCTTCAAGTAGGATAAACTTGGAGTAAGAGATCCACACATGGACACAGGATTAATCAAACTACCAGACGAGAAAAAGGCACAATCTTGAAAGCAGCAAGAAAGAAGTGACTCATCCTGTACAATAGTATGATTGTACAAGCTGACTACTAACCAGAAACCATGGAGGACAGAAGGCAGTGGGACGACAACACAGTCAAAATGCTAAAAGAAAAAGGTTGTCAATCAAGAGTTCTACAGCCAGCAAAAGCGGAAAAATTAAAACCTTCCCGGATAAACAGAATTTGTCACAGGCAAAATTGCCCTATGAGGAGTAATACAGGAACTGGTTCAGCAAATCTACAGAGACAGAAAGTCGAGGGGCCTGGGGGTGAATGGAATGATGGGAGAAGATAAAGTGTACAGACTTGCTTTTTAAGTTGATGAAAATGTTCTAAAATCCACTGTGGTGCCGTTTGTACATATCTACGGGTACACTAAAAAAATCATTGAATTCTACATTTTAAATGGGTGAATGGCATGGTATGTGAGCGGAATCTCAATAAAGCTGTTTAAAGAAAAAAATGAGAGAAAATGAAATCATTCCAAGACAACAGACGAGATTAAAGGGCCAAAGAGGGAAACTGGGGATGAGCCATGTGCAAGGACAAGGGAAAGACGACGACTCCATGAAGATATCAGCAGGAGAAGGACAGAGCCAGTGGAAGGTGTCACAGACACTCACAGAGACACTTTCCAGAAGGACAGAGTGAGAAGTAGAGGCAAGTGCTACAGAAAAGTCAAGTAAGCAAAGGATCAGGCAAGACCCAATGGATTTGATCATAATCGAGTCTCTGGTCACTGGAGATCACAGGTAAGTGGGGAGAGAGACCAAGGCCTCATGAAAAGGTTTAGAGCGTGACTGAAAGTGTTGAAACACTTGAAGGAGAACAGAATTTTAAACTGTCTGCTGGGCTGACCGTTTTAAACTGTCCTGAAAATCACGGGTACTCGAAATATTTATGGAGAGTAATCTTAAGGATAGTCAGTTGGTCCATCAGAAAAATGTCTCCTGCAATCCCTGTGTTGGAGTTTGTGAAAAACAGTACTGACTGAGCTCACTTCAGCGTTTCCTCTTCTACCTTTTCTGAAGCACAAGTGGAGGCAACGTCCTATGTTATCTTAGGGTTACTACTGGAAGCTGTTACCTAAATCACGTAGTTGAAAACAACAAAGATATTCTTCACCTTCAATTGTCTTTATAGTCTATGAGGAATCAGTTTGCTTTACCTTCTCACCAACGTTAACCTTGAAAGAAATATCACGCCTGATACCCTGCCACGGCTATCACAAACCTCAGAAATAAACCTGGAACTCCAACGTAGTACATCTGCAATGTCAGAGGACCTGCATGTACCCACCTGCCACCTTTTCTCTGCTCTTCAACTGTATTTCTGTGTCTTCTCTGAATGCATCTGATCCATTTCTATTTCTACTCTTCCATGTTGACGGAGAGACACGTAAGCCCTTATAAAATCCCTTGTAACACAAGCAAGCTATTAAAAACTGAACTCACCTGAGCTATGTTCATTTTCTGCTACTCCTGGAAGAAGGTAAAGAACTGTGAAGGTTCAGCTGGGGAGGAGGAAAGAGAAATGGGGTCATGAGAAACCTGGTCAGCCCTACAACTCCTACACTCACCTGCCTAAAACTCCCCTTATACCAGCTGGAGACAAGCCTTCCCTATGGGAAAACAGCCCTTGCACACGCTGGAGAAGGGAGAGGAAGGGACACAGAGGGAGCACCACCTGAACGTGCGCACCTCGGATATGACTCTCTGGGCTTAACCTTGCATTTTCACTGAGTAAGGTACACTGCTTTTTCTTGATGAGTTAACGTCTATCCTCTTCTGACTAATTAGCAGTAGCAGCAGCAGCAGCAGCAGCAGCAGCATGAAACAGAGGAATAAACAAATTCAGCAACACCGGGGGGGGGGGGGGGGAACCCTCTACCTTCATTAAAACTAACGTTGTCCAAAACAACTACTCAGGCTGGATTATTAACCAAGTTCTTGTCTTTACACCTTGAGTTAGAGCTTCACAGAAAACTCCGAGATAAAAACGGATGCTTCATACAAGAAATAAATTTCTTGCAACTTTCTGTTCTCAATTGGTTGCAGTTCCTAAAAAAGATCTTCGGATCAGATGCTTACAGTACTCACCCGTGTAAGTCAACAGCTGTGCGCTTAGTTCCTGGGTCTGCCCTGGGTGACTCGACAAACCCCGTTCATTACAGGCCTGCTGTCTTTGGGCTTCCGAAAGCGTCCAGCACAGAAAACCCCTCTCCTCCCATTTCGTTTTTCTCTATGCTCAGGAAAGAGGCAGCATCGGCATCACTCATAGATGCCACACGTGGTGAGGAACAGGCGCGACAGCAGCTCAGAATCCGCAGGGGGCGCGGGGAGAACGGAGGAGACAGGGGACTGCTTGGGGTCCCGCCCGCGCTCGCGGGTTAGCCTTCCCCGGACGCCACGTCCCCACCAGCCGTCAGCGACCCGCCCAGCTCCTGCGCAGCCTCACAGTCCCCCATCCCCGCCACCCCAGGCCGCCGCCTTCCGCAGGCGGGTCCACAGCGTCCACCGCACACAGGCCGGGCCGGCTTCCGGGCGCGGGGACCTCCTCGAGCCCGCCTCACGCCACACAGGGACCCACAACTGCTTCTGACCGGGCGCCTCGGGCCCGCGCGTGCCTGGAACCTTCCGCCTCCGCTCCGAAGCCCCGCAGGGCTCCGTCAGCAAGGCCGCTCTGCCCAGAGGCAGCTGTCCCCGCGGCCCCCTCGCCCCTGCCGTGAGAGAGCTCCTTTGCTCCCGAGGGGCTGGGACCCGGGGCGCGGAGCCAGTGCCCTTTATCCCAAGCGTCACCCAGCGCTCCACGCCCGGCTCCTCCGGAACTCGCCAGAAACGTCCTGGGCGGCCACGCGGCCGTCAGCCGCCCGCGACCACCGGCCCTGCCGCCGGCTAGGGCCACAGGGCGAGGCGCCTCCGGAGGCCCCGAAGCGAGGCAGCGGCAACGCCGATTCGCCGCCTTCCACCGCCCGCGGCTCCGGACAGACGCCGAGCTCCCTTCCGGCTGCCTCAGCCCCGCCCCGGCCCGAGCCCCGCGCCGCGAGCCCCGTCCGCGCCCACCGCGCGGGCCCCGCAGGCCGCCGCCGCCGCAGGTGTGCGCGCGGAGGACGCGAGCTCTCGAGAGCGACGCCCACGGCGGCGAAGCGGCCCGAGGCGCCGCCCCCAGCCCGCGCCCCGGGGCCGCCGGGGACGCGGGGCTAGGGGAGGGCAGGGCCCGGTGGCGCCTCCGGGGCACCCCGCTCCCGTCCCCGGACGCGAGCCTAGCCGGCCCGGCAGGCCCCCAGCCGCGCGGAGGCCCGTCCCCAGCGATCTCACCCCGAGCGGCAGCCTCCGCTCCCGCCTACACCTACAGACGTCCGGACGCTGGCCCTCTCGCGCCCGGGGAGGCGGGGGAGGGCGGGGCGGCGCTGGGTGTGCGCGTGCGCAGAGTGAGCGCCGAGGACCCTTCCCAGACTGCTGCGCGGAGGGCCCGCACCATCCAAGACTACATTTCCCATAAGACCCTGACACAGCAGCAAGTGGTTTGGGAAGCGTTACTGCTGCTTTCGCGAGTTGGAAGACGTGACGATTGGACCTTGCTGCTGGAGATTTTTCCTGAATCCTAGAGGTTGTGGGTTAGACTTTTGCTTTACGACATTTATGACAAAGCGTGGTTCTCGATCGGATCCTGGTTGTAAAAAACAACAGCTGCAAGGAGGCAGTTGGAGAGATATGAACATGGACTAGCTATGGAAATATTAAGGGTTATTATATATACGCAAGCAATATTATACATATATGGTTAATGGTTAATATATATAATCAGCATTACTTTGATTAGTGATAATATTTGGACGAGGTACGAAATTGTTATGTTTTACACATGCATACTGAAACATTTACGATTATGAAATCATATATTTGGAATTTACTTTTTAAAACTTCAGCAAACGAATTAGAGATAGCAAATATGGCCAAGGGTTAAGAATCATTAAATCTCTGTAATACGTGTGTATAATGCTCATTTTACTCTTTCTGCTATTCTGAGGTTTTGAAGACGTGGAGGTGGGTGCGGGGAGGAGACGGGGGGTACGTTAGGGAGTTTCCCGTCCCTCCAGAAGTGCACCTTTTAAAGTCGAGCTGCCAGGAGAAGCAAGGGTACACCCAAGTGTCCCTTAGGGTTACGGCTGTGAGGTAGAACAAATAGTAGAAAATGGATGGAGCCAACATTAATGAAAAAGAGTAACACCTGTGACCCGCAGGGTTTATGGGGGCGGGGAGTTGAGGGGGAAGAGAGAATACGCCAGCTGTTCAAAATTGCACAAGTAATACGTGAAAACACATACACCCCAAAATAAGAAAATTATTATATCACTTTTGCATTTCCATGAGTAAACCGTTTTTGAAAATTAATGTGTGCACACTTCAGACTTTTCACAAATTAGAGACATAGGGGCGCAATAACAATTTTTTTCTAGTAGGCTTTTTTAGAGCAGTTTTAGGCCTACAGAATGAGCAGAAAGCACAAAAAGAGTTCCCATAGACCCCCTCTCACCACCCCACACGCAGTTTCTCCTATTAACATCTTACATTAGTGTGGTACATTTTGTACACTTAACAAATGATCCATTGTTCCTAGCTAAAGTCCGTAGTTTACATTACCGGTCGCTCTTTGCGTTGTATAGTTTTATGGGTTTTGCCACATGGATCATGTCATCTGGTGTAATATCCGTCATTATAGTGGTGTAAAATGCACCATTGCATTATTGTACAGAATAGTTTTACTACCCTAAAAATCTCCTGTGCTCTGTCTATTCCACCTCTCCCTTCTTGTTTTCTCCTCCTGGACTCCTGGCAGCCACTCATCTTTTTACTGTCTCAATAGCTTTACCTTTTCCAGAATGTGGTATAGTAAGTAGCTTTTTTAGACTGGCTTCTTTCACTTAGAATACGCGTTTAAGCTTTCTCCATGTCCTTTTGTGGCTTGATAGCTCACTTCTTTTTATCACTGAATAATATTCCATTGTATGGATGTACACAGTTTGTTTATCCACTCATCTATTGAAAGACATCTTGCTTGATTCTGAGTGTTTGCAATTATGGATAAAACTACTATAAACATTTTTTTGTGTGCAGACTTTTGTATTGACGTGTCTTCTTCTTCTTTTTTAAAAAAGATTGGCCCTGAGCTACCGTCTGTTGTGAATGTTTTTTTTTTTTTTATCTTCTTCTCTGCAAAGTCCCCCAGTACGTAGTTGTATATTCTAGTCGTGGGTCCTTCTAGTTCTGCTATGAGCAGTTCTAGGTCTGCGTCCAGGATCCGAACCGGCGAAACCCCGGGCTGCCGAAGCGGAGTGCGCAAACTTAGCCACTCACACTTAACCACTCACAGCCGGGCTGGCCCCGACAGAAGTTTTCAAATCAACTGAGTAAATACCAAGGAGTGCAATTGCTGGATTGTATAGTGGAGACTGTGGTTAGCTTTATAAGAAACTGCCAAACTGTCTTCCAGAAGTGGATGTATCATTTTGCATTTTCACCAGCGATGAATGACAGTTCTCATTGCTCCATGTCCTCACCAGCATTAGGTGTTGTCAGTATTTTGGATTTTGGCCATTCTAATAGGTGTGTAGTGGTATCTCATAATTTGCGATTCTGTAATGATATCTGATGCTGGACTTCTTTTCATATGCCTAACTGCCATAAGTATATCTTCTTTTGTGAGGTGTCTAACTCTTTCACCCATTTTTTATTGGGTTGTTAATTTTCTTATTGTTGAGTTTTAAGAGTTACTTATATATTTTGGATAAAATTCCTCTACCAGATGTCTTTTACAAATATTTTCTCTCAGTCTGTGGCTTGTCTTTTCATTTTCTTGATATTCATTCAGAAAGCAGTTTTTACTTTTAATGAATTCAAACTGATCAATTTGTTCATTCTTGGATTGTGCTTCTGGTGTTACCTAAAAACTCATTGCCAAACTCAAGGTCACCTAGATTTCCTTCTGTGTTATCTCCTAGAAGTTTTATACTTTTGCTTCATATTTTTCAGTTTATGATCCACTTTGAGTTGATATTTGTGAGAAGTAGAAGGTCTGTGTCTACCTTTATTTTTTTCCATGTGGCTGTTCAGTTTTTCTAGCACCATTGTTAAAAAGACTATCTTTTCTTCATTGCGTTGTCTTTGCTCCTTTGTCAAAGATCATTTGACAATATTTGTGGGCTCTCTATTCTGTTCCATTAATGTTTTTGTTGATTCTTTCTGCAGTACCACACTGGTTTGACCACTTCAGCTTTATAGTAATTTTTGAAGTCAGGTAGTGTCAGTCCTCTGACTTGGTTATTTTTTAATACAGGCATCACTCGGAGATATTGTGGGCTCAGTTCCAGACCACGGTAAGAAAGCAAATATTGCAATAAGGTGAGTCACATGAATTTTTTGTTTTCCCAGTGCATATAAAAGTTATGTTGAGAGAGTGATGACAGCACCATGGTGGAGTGAACTTGCCCAGGACTGTCTCCCCCCCCAACATACAACAAAAAGTGACATCCGTACTCCAACAGAAGACATCATAACAACACGAAAACCTCGGAGAGACATGCAGCCACACGACAGAGTGCAGAGAGGCTGGAGTTCCCCTTGGAGGAGCTGGAACAGTGTAAGAGAGAACTTCACTCCCTCCCCCAAAGACTGGGATTGCTGCTGCGGGCGGATCCATGAGGGAAGGAGCGGGCGAGGGGTCGCTCATTTGGAGGATCACCCAGGACTCCCACGGGCCCTTGCTGCCTAGAGGGAAGCCTTCTAACGGGGTGAAAGCCTTCACACGGGGTGACCTCATCAAGCCAAGACACCAGGAGACCAGATAGCGACAGCTGATCGAGAAATCCCAGAGTGCATGCGGGAGACAGCACCCCTCCCCCGACCCGCTCAGCGTGGCTCCAGCCCCTGGGATCTCAGCTGAAGGTGGAGGGCTCAGAATACGAGGCTCTCAACCCCCACCCAATGGCAATAGGTGGTAACTGCAACCGAATACTATCAGAATGAGAAAGCCCTGACCTTCCAACATCAGACACTACATCAAATCTCCAGACCGGAGACAAAACGGCAAGCCCCCAGAACTCAGCCCTAAGGACACAGAAATATATAAGCTAAACGACAATGAATTCAAAATAGCTATCCTCAAAAAACTCAATGAGGTAAAAGAGAATGTGGAGAAACAATTCAATGAGTTTAGAGGCTACTTCACAAAAGTGACTGCAACTGTAAAGAAGAATCAATCAGAAATATTAGAGATGGGGGCCGGCCCAGTGGCGGAGCGGGTAAGTGTGCACATTACACTGCGGCAGCCCAGGGTTTGCCGGTTTGGATCCCAGCTGCGGACATGGCACCGCTTGGCAAGTCGTGCTGTGGTAGGCATCCCACATATAAAGCAGAGGAAGATAGGCATGGATGTTAGCTCAGGGCCAGTCTTCCTCAGTAGAAAAATAAAAGAAATATTAGAGATGAAAGACACAATGGAAGAGATAAAACAAAATACGGATTCCCTCAATGCTCGTGTGGACATCATAGAGGAGCATATCACCATAATCGAAAATAGATATGTTGAAATGCTCCAGACAGAGGAGGAGAGAGAACTAAGACTAAAAATGAATAAAGAAAGTGTCTGAGAAATATCCGACTCAATGAGGAAAGGCAACATAAGAATTATAGGTCTTCAAGACGGTGAAGAGAATGAGAATGGAGCAGAAAGCGTGTTCAAAGAAATGATAGCAGAGAACTTCCAAAATCCAGGGAAAGAGAGGGAAATCTGTGTGGAAGAAGTTTCCAGATCTCTTAGATTTGTCAATGTAAAAAGACCGACTGCAAGGCGTATAGTAGTACAACTGGCAAAAATGAATGACAAAGAAAGAATACTCTGGGCAGCAAGGCAGAAGGAAATAACCTACAAAGGAACCCCTATCAGGCTTTCAGTGGATTTCTCTGCAGAAACCTTACAAGCTAGGAGAGAATGGAATGACATATTCAAAACTTTAAAAGACAGGAATCTTCAGCCAAGAGTACTCTATCCAGCAAAAATATCCTTCCGATATGATGGAGAAAATAAATGTTTCTCAGACAAACAAAAGCTAAGGGATTTTGTAGCCATGAAACCCGCCCTTACAAGAAATCCTCAAGAAGGCCCTCATACCCGAAAAAGGAAAAAAAGAGAGAAAGTGGTCACAAAATACAGAGTAAGGAGATACATGGGTAGACAGAATCAGAATAGGATGGCAAATATTCAACTATAGCTTTCGGCTAAAGGGAAGGAAAACACCAAAAACAAAGACAATTTTGTCACTTTAACCACAAACTCACAACACAAGATGGAATAAGATATGAGAAAAACAGCTTAGGAGGGGAAGAGGAAATGGACTGAATCGGTTTAGACTAAGGAAGTAAGAAGCCATCAGAAA